AATATTTAAAAATTGCTGAAATTTATTAGAAGTCCAATTTTGATACTGATATTGGAATGGTTACTCAATTTTCAAAAGATTACATGTGTTCAGTTTATTTGGGGTTTCAAAAAAAAGCTTAGTCTATAGTTGTCAGGCCGATTGTTTTGTCGTTTACAAATATATTATGTTAATACATATCAAAAACTAAAACTAATTGAAAGTTTTTTTGCTGCAGAACACTATTGTAATAATTTGTCAATATAACTCAATTTTTAAGTGAGTTTTTTATATTGATTTTTAATTGATGTGTACTTCAAGTATTTACTTTATATTTCAGGTATTTACTTTATATAAGTACCTGTACTATTGTCAATTTCTTTGAAATGTTATAACTTATTTCAAAATATATTTAATTTGATGAACTTTATGATTTTGAAGAAAAACTCTTTAGAAAAAAGGTGGTGGCCCCTGGGCCCCCCGTTGTCGTTAGCCATAAATTGCTCGTTTAGTAAAACAATAATTTTTAATACATTTTTTAAGTGTTTGTACTTCGAGTGCAGTTTTCACCTAGAGAAACTACTCCATAATGTTGCTTGCCTACTCCATAATTATTGCTCGAAATGATGGCTAGAATAGTTGGTCAATTTTAATAAAAGTTTAAAGGCCTCTGCTTTTTTTTGCCTTCTGAGTAGAATCATCGTTAAGCAGAAGAATGTCGTTAAGCAGAAGAATCATCGTTAAGCAGAAGAATCATCGTTAAGCAGAAGACCTGAATAATGTTGATCTCATCCTCGTTTAACTTTTCTAGAAGGATTTCGATTAAAATGAGACGCAAGATGATTATGCATAGAAATGAAAGAAAAAAAACACTAAACTGATTTGCCGTATGGCAAAACGTAATACTGAACAAATAAGAACTGGTTGATTGAGTTTGAAATTGAATTTAAGCTGTCGATAATATGTAACCATGAAACAAATATGAGTTGGTTGATAAGCTATTGCATAAGAAGTTGAATCAACGATGATAAGTGGATGAACTCTTTTAAATGTTTTTAATAGGTACGAGGTGTTTCTCTTTCGTTTGTTACCATAAGCAATCATGTATTGAGCAAAAAAAGTTAATCAATCACCTGAGAATAAATAATAAATAAAATATAAATAACAAAGAATAAATAATATAAAATATAAAATTATTTTCCATTTAAAAAAGAGAATTTAGTGGCATTATTACACGATAATTGTTCAATTGAAGTATTTAAAACTTTTAATTTAAATTGATATCAATTTTACAAACCTAATCGTGAATTTTACAGACCTGTAACTTCGATTACTTGTTGTAGAATTTGGGTCCAATATTTTTTTTTTTGGTTTAGTGTTGATAGATTATTGATACTGCTTTATTTTGGGATAAGAATGCAGCAAATAATTTATATTTGGTTGGCATTTTTATTTTCTTTACGGCTTGCTTTTACTTCCTTTTTTTTAATTATCTCTTTTTATTAAGGAAGGCCAAGAGGTGCCACAAATCTTAACATTTTTTTAAACGGGGAGACCATATATATATATATATATATATATATATATATATATATATATATATATATATATATATATATATATATATATATATATATATATATATATATATATATATATATATATATATATATATATATATATATATATATATATATATATACATATATAAATATAAATATATATATATATATATATATATATATATATATATATATATATATATATATATATATATATATATATATATATATATATATATGGGTAGAATATAACAAATACGGCTGCCTAGAAACTTTTTTAAATATATTTATATTTTTCCTTTAATATATAATTATTTCGATATATTCATCAGGTATATAATATATATGTATATCTATATATATATATATATATATATATATATATATATATATATATATATATATATATATATATATCTATATATATATAATATATATATATATATATATATATATATATATATATATATATATATATATATATATATATATATATATATATGTATATATATATATATATATATGAATATATTTTACGTTAAGTTTATGAAAATGACTTTAAAAACAAAAATCGTTTTAACTTTATATATTTAAACTAAATAATAAAAAAATAGTTTTTATATTATATAAAACGTGTATACGAAATAAATGTGAAAGAATAAGTAAGTCATTTTTTTTTCAGTGGTTATATTAAAATCTTTTTAATTGTTTTGTATTTTGTTTGCAACGTGTTGTGGTTTCAAAAAAAATGTATTAGTTTTTTGATTTAACTTAAAATTAGTTTTAAAAATGACAAAAGAAGAAGAAATAAGAGAAAAAATTATGCACAAATATTTGGAAAATCCCAATAGTAGCTACAATTTGATAGCAAAAACGTTACAAATACATCGTTACAAATCGTGTAATCCAACGTTTTTCTCAAACAAAATCGATCAAACGTAAATCTGGTAGTGGAAGAAAGAAGGGTTTTAAAGATAAAAAACTAGTTAGAAAACTGGTTAACAGTTTTAAGACTAACCCAAGCCTTCACTAAGGGAGCGCGCGAACATTTATGGACCCATAGTTTTGCTGTAAAAGTTCGAAATAAACATGTTTTTCATTCTTTCAAAGCATAAAATTGCCCAACCGATCTGAAACTCAACAAAAAAGTGCAAAAACTCGCTGCAGAAAGTTGTATGACAATTTTATTTCTAAAAATTTATGTATTATTAAAGACGATGAAACTTATATCAAGTACAATTCAGCAAATGCCGTCTGTTATATTGCCAAATGCAGAGGAAAAGCAGATAAGAAATTTAAATACATTAAACATGACAAGTTTGCTTAAAAAGTCTTGATTTGGCAAGCTATTTGATTTTGTGACAAAAAATCAGCACCTTATATTTCTCAGTCAACACTTTCGGGTCAAATATATGTTAAAGAGTGTTTACAAAAACGCCTTTTACCTCTCATTAAATCACACGATAAGAGACCTGTGTTCTGGCCAGATTTAGCTTCAATTTATTATTGTAAAATAGATTTGGAATGGTATAAAAATAATAATGTGAAATTTGTGCCTAAAACAGAAAATCCTCCAAACTGCCCAGAATTCAGAGTTTTTGAAAAGTACTGAGCCATTATTAAAATAAAAATAAAAAAATAAAAAAACTTTGCAGAAATATTAAAAATATTAAAATATCAATTAAAAAAGCATCAAATGGCTTCAATTCTTATTTTGTGCACAAGGTTATGGGCAAAGCAAAAGTTCGAAATTTTATTAGATTCCCACAGAAATAATTGAATTTTTTTTTATATTTGATCTTCTTATATTATTGTATTAAAGTTATTACTTGGTTGGAAATAAAAATTGAAGAGTACTTTTTTTTAGTTGTTCTACTTTACTTTTATTTCATGTACACGCTTTACTTTTATTTCGTGTACACGCTTTACATTTATTTCGTGTACACGCTTTACTTTTAGTTTATTTCGTGTACACGCTTTACATTTATTTCGTGTACACGCTTTACTTTTAGTTTATTTTGTGTACACGCTTTACATTTATTTCGTGTACACGCTTTACTTTTAGTTTATTTCGTGTACACGCTTTACATTTATTTCGTGTACACACTTTACTTTTAGTAGTTTTTTATGATTGAATTGCTCAAATCATCAAATAAAATTTACAGTTTAATAAAAATATTGATCTATATTTGTTTGAATCATTATCAAATATTGTAACACATATAAAATTGAAGTTTATCAATTATAAACGATAATGGGGTATCATTTATATATAGTTTATTATCATCTTTTTTAAAAACTTTGCAGTAGAATCATTTTTGCAGTAGAATTAGTTTTTACAAATACTTTCCACAACACAAAAAAAATATGATGTGATTTCAACAACCATACGTTCTTAAACCAGAAAAGCACCTAGACAATACTGAATCTAGACTAACGACGTTTGGCAAATATTTAGTAAATAGCGTATACTTAGTAGCGTTTGAATATTTTGACTAAATTTCAGCAAAAATCAATTCATAATTTTGAATTTGTTAAAAATTTTAAACTATCAAAATAATAAATTTTCTATTTTTATTAAAATGTTGATTTATTCAATAGCTATGAAATGATGATGTATTTTCGAATACCCTCCACAGCAATTTTTGGAAAATCATTTAAATCTTATGCATCAATAGGTTCCAATTGCTTTTTACTTTTTCTTTTTGTATTCAAAATGTATAATTCCGACTTTTTAAATCAATTTTATCTTTTATCTAATACTTGGACTGAACTCTGAACTTGTTCTCTTAAATTACTTTTTATTTTTTAAATATCCCTTAATATAGTTACGTCATTATTAGTTGTAGCAAAAAGTCCATTAACATCAATAATAAAACCATTTACAGTGCATATTAAAAAAAACTTAACTAAATATCTTTTTTTTAGCCCTCTGTATAGGTTTCATAGTAAAGAATTATTTTAACTTTTTTTACAGAATATATAAGTACGATCTTTGCTGTTCGTCTTTTAAGTCAAACAAATCATTGATCATATCTGTGTTATTTAATAATCTTTTTGTAATCGTGATTTTTCTCCTAAATTTTTGATGGCAATATTTCTGAACTTTCAACCAACATGTCAAAGCAAAATAAAAAGAAATCTAATTTTGATTAAGACCAGTTTTTAACCAAAAGAGATAAACTGCAAGAGCTTGTTCTTTTGAACGATTGAATAAGTTTTTGTTGTTTTAAATTCGCTTACCAAATATAGAAATTCATCTTTGTTAAAATCTGTATTTTGGAAACAAAACTCACTTGTTATGTTATTTATATTACTAAATTTTGCGAATATATTCTATTTCAATTTCTAATTATAGAAATATCAATTATCCTTTCATTTGTTATTTTGCTTAATGGAGTCAAATTAGACTCACATTTTCAAAAAAAAAACGATGTAAATTTGCAACTTTATCAATTTCTATGTTGATTGTATTTTTTTCAATAGATTAAAATAACCACTGTCATTGTCATCATCAACATAATCGTACTCTCCAGAATCATTATCAATACTCCTAGAATTAAAATCTTCATAATTTTCTAAAACAATATAAGGACTTGATTTATCATGGAAATATCTTCAACGTATTGTTCGAAGTAAGACTTTTATTTCTATGATTTGTAGCAAGCAAAAGAACTGTTTTTTTTGAAAGATTTTAAATTCTTGTAACAAATGATCTGATCCTGTATAAAATAAAATCGCCTTTAAAATGATCAAAAACTTTATTTATCAAGTTTTTATTTTTAGTTTCAACAACGTTTTTGAACATATACAGTATAAGCATATAGTGTAGGCAATACTATCACCGCTCTTTTGACAAACACAACAATATTTATTTCTTAGATTATTTATTAGCATTTTGTAATACTCTTTTCTTATTTTTTCCTTTTTATTAATGTAAAGAAGACAATATTTAACTAAGTAGCAGAGCTTTAATTTTTGATTATTAATTTGTTAATTGATTATTTCAAAATAACATAATACGTTAAATTAACATATTTGCAATACCTTTTTCAATTTTATTTTGAAAAAAACCTCAAGTAATGTCTTTAAAAAACCTTTTTTTGGAGGGAAAGGAGGGGTAGGGGGTAGGGAGGGAGAGGGAGGAGAAGGGGGAAAGGGGAGTTAAAATTATTTTTATGTTGCGAAGTGTAGTTTTATATTCTTTTCAAACATCCTTTAGCGTTATTATAAGCTTTAGAAAAAAAAAAAAATGTATTTAGTTGGACAAAACATAAAAATTTCATTTTATCTAACTAAAATTATTTTTTTCATTTATTTGTCTAAAAATATTATCATTCAAATAATATTTTTCAAATAATATCATATATTAATAAAAAAATATCTTTTTTCATTCGGATTCATATTTTGAAACCCTATACAGACTTATATCAGGCAGAGATATACTCAACGTGATTTGCTGATTTTAGAAAAGAAGCGTTCGCTCGTTTGTTAAAAATCAAATTAAAAAATCAAAACAAATGTCAAAGAGTGTATGAAGTAATAAAAGAGGAGTGGAATAACTGTATAAAAAATGAAACAATAATATCAAAAACACTGTGATTTTCTATCGACTTTAGTACATTAAAGTACATACACATTAACAACTTTACTCAAATTACTATATGTATAAGTTAACATCATTAAAACTTTTCAACCTATCAGAGTTCTGTTCATTTGTTATTATAACTAGCCCAGTAAATCCACAACATTCTGCAATTGTAAACAACTGTAAGAAAAAGCTCTGATTGGGATCGTCCCATATTTGAAATAACTTTTCAGCTTTGTATACAGGATCATCTAGTAAAAAACAAATTACCAAAACAATGTAGCATAAAAAAATATTAGAAAAAGTTGACTATTTGATGCCCAGATTTGTATTGATATAGTAAACTAATTACTTAAAGAAACAACTCTTTACGTATGCAACCACGATGGAAAACTTAAGGGTTAAGAGTTATTAACAAGAAAAACTGCAAAATAATTTTAAATTTACTTTTTTAAGAGCTGATACATATAACATACATGTTTGTTAAATATTTTCGAGTTAATACAAGGAAGGAGGGAGGGAGCAGGGGGTAAAGAAATAGAGGAAAAGGGGGGGGGGGGATTTTTTTATGTTACAATATAAATATTTTTTATAAAAAATTTCAGTTTATGAATCCGAACTAATATTTTTTACAAAACTAGCACAAGACTATTTAACTCTATCGTGGCATGCGGTTAAATGCGCATTTTCTAAAAACATGTTTCATAATAATAACAATAGGTTAAAAGGATATAAGTTATAAGATATAAGTTTAATACTTTGGTGAGAAATAAATTAAAAGCTCATTTTCGATAAATCAAGGTAAGATAAAGCCTGTTTAAACTGAAAAATTTTGTTTTTATCAGTGACTGAAATAATTATTTTATAATTCTTAAGCAAATTTTCACTTTTTAAAAAAAAAAAATTATAATAAAAATTAATAAGGAGGGGGAGGGGGGGAGGGGGAGTTCTTAACAATCTTGGGGTGGGTGGGAAAATTTCCAAAAATTAGTAAACGTCTCCCCCCCCCCCCTTTTATTAGGGACTTAAGATTACCTATGTTAACCTGAGCAAAACAATGGTTATTGTATATTATAAATTAAAGTAAATTAAATTAAAACAATAAATAAATAAAAGAAAATTGATATCATTTGGAAACAAATGTTTGTGGCATCTCTTTGAAGTTGATAAAAAAATTAATTAAAATTGCGCCTCTTTCATAAACTCTAACTTATAAAATTTACTGAACAGTTCAGTAAATGAGTTTTTATAAGTTGAAGTTTATGTATTATAAGTTGGAGTTTATGAAAGTTTATTTTTTATAAGTTGGAGTTTATGTAAGTTTATGTTTTATAAGTTGGAGTTTATGTTAAAGAGCGCTTTTCTGCAGCAGAAGAGCGCCTTTTAACTCTAAAATAGTTTATATATGTTTTTAAAATTACTTTTTTTATTTAGTACATTCAATATTAATTTTATTTATATTTGTTATATTTTGAGACTATTTGGACACTGTCCATAAAGTTTGTAGTCGATTTTGTGAAATGATTTAAAGTTAATAATAATAATAATTGAAGCTGTGTTCTTGAGAGTTTCAAGAAAGAATCTAACAACTGTAGATGTTAGATTTTAACAACTGTTTTTCGCTAAACTTTTTAAGTTTATTTTTAAAATCAATTACTGAATTAGCGTTAACAATTTCACTGTCCAAACGATTCCAATTTTCAACTATACGGTTCGTGAAGAAATGATGCCTCGGCAAAAAGTTTTGAACATACTGCCTTCGCAACCTTTGATTGTGTCCTCTAGTTAGCCTACCCAATACTTCTGGTTCACGATGCCAATTGATAGTATCAATTTTGTTCATGAATTTGTACATTTGGATAAGATCACCTTTTTCCCTTCTCTTTGATAGATTTTGTAAGTCCATTTTCTCTAATCTTTGCTCGTAACTGTCTTTCTTTTTTTTGTAGCCAAATTTTGTAGCTTTTTGCTGAATTTTTTCTATTAAGTTTATATCTTTAATAAAATATGGGTTCCACACTTGAAAAGCATATTCTAAGTGTGGCCGAACGAGTGACATATATAACAATTTTGTTGATGTTTCATCTGGATAGAGGATTGCGTGCTTTAACATACCCAATTTTTGATTTGCCTTACTTACCATTTTTTCAATGTGGTCTTCCCATTTTAAATTGTCTGAAATATAAACACCAAGGTCTCTTTCCAATGACGTTACTATTAGTCCATGTTGAATAATCTCTGTTTCTGTAGCATTATATTTTAAATTATACTTTATTTTCGGATTATCACGACCAAAATGCATGATTTTACATTTATCTTTATTAAAACTGATAAGCCATCTTTTAGTCCAGTTAAATAAGATGTCAAGATCCAACTGTAGAGAGTTATTTATTTTATTTTTTTCTAGAACTGCAATTATTTTTAAATCGTCTGCATATAGTTTTGCTTTATTATTCAACTTTTTTGTTAAATCATTTATATAAATTATAAAAAGTAAGGGTCCTAAGACCAATCCTTGTGGTACCCCACTACGAACTGTTTCCCATTCTGATTCAAACAGTCCCAAAACAACTCTCTGTTTTCGATTTGCTAAAATAGCTTTACACCATTGCAACAATTTTCCAACAATACCAAATGACTTAAGTTTCAAGAGCAGCCTGGAATGCGGAACTGAATCAAATGCCTTAGAAAAATCTAAAAAGGCAACATCAACACATTTTCCACAATTTATTGATTCTGTTATTATGTCTAATGTCTCGAGAAGGTTTGTTACACAATTTTTTGATTTAATGAATCCGTGTTGTTCTGGTATTAATAACTTATTTTTATTTAAATGGTTCATTATTGTATCCTTAACAATACTTTCCATTACTTTACAAACAACAGAGGTCAATGAAATTGGACGGTAGTTACCTGCATTCAACCTATCCCCATTTTTAAAAATTGGAGTGATATTTGCTTTTAACCAGCTTGTAGGCAATGTTCCAGTTAGAAATGATTGGTTAAATATCATACAGAGTGGTCTAGCTAAACTGTCAGCACACTTACTTAAAAACATTGGATGAATTCTATCGATACCTGGGGACTTGTGCACATTTAGATTCAATAATCGTTTTTTAATATCTTTCTCATTAAACAATGGGGTTGGGCAAATTTTTTCTGTTATATTTTCACATGTAGGCATATTAGTTAGGCTTTCGTTTATGAATACTGAATTGAAAAACCGATTTAACTGATTAGCAATAACTTGACTGTCAGTTGATATTTCATTGTTTTCAATTGAAATTGCTCTTATATGGTCTTTAGCTTTTAGTTTACTGTTAATATAAGCATAAACTTGTTTTGGATTTTTTTTTGATTCTGTTGCAATTTTATTTTCATATTTTTGTATTGTAATCTTTACAAGTTTTTTAACTAACTTATTTTTTAGTTTATATTCTTCCTTAAGATCTAAATTTTTGAAATGAGAGGCTTTGTATCGATACCAAAGGTTACGCTTAAGTCGAATTTCGTGTTTTAATTCTTTATTCATCCATAAGGATCTTTTGCTTTCAGTTGTTTTTTGATTAAATGACGGTATGAAATCTTTACAGCCGTATTCAATAGTTCTAATAAAACTTTCATAACACTGATCAACATTAAGTCCAGTAAACTCATGACTCCAGTTAAATTTATTTAAATATTTTGAAAATTCATGATAATTTCCTTTCATGTATACTCGCTTTGTAGTAATACTTTCATTTTTGCGATTATGTAATTGATAATTAAAATTAAAATTTAAAACATGATGACCTCTTTTTGTTTTCCCCAAAGGATCCATATGTACCAAGCTGGATATGCGAAGTTATTACTTATGATGGGACAATTAATTGAAAAGTTCCATCATAAAAAATCTTTAAAAAGAAAAAAATCGTAAAATCACATTTCATTAGGATCATTTTTTAGATTGCAAAAAACGCATTATTAGTTTCCAAACCTTTGTTAAAAACGCATTATTAGTTTCCAAACCTTTGTTAAAACATATATGCTTATCAACTATAGTGAACATTAAATTTCTATAATGAATTGCACCAAAAAATTATCTGGCCCTCAATTTAAGAAGAAAATAAAACAGCGCCTAGAAAGTGATGAGAAACTACATAATTGTTTCAAGCAGTAGTTGGTAACTAACTCTACAGAGAAAAAACAAATTATTTCAGAGGATATTATTATTGAAGTTAATGAAAGTTCAACAGATAAAGTTTTATACATTTCGAATTAATGACTTAAGTTCAGATAATAATTTGGAATTAATTGAAGAGGAGATTTTCATTAGCCAAAGTCAAGAAGAATTTTAAACAAATAATTCAAAAACAACAAGAGAGTATGGAAATTCCCAGCTTTCTGACCGGGCTGAAATGGATCACAATGAACTTCATTCAGAAATATCAGATATTCCGCCAACTTTAGGAAAAATATTTTAATACAAGGATCCAGCAACATGGACTAAACTTACGGACAACATAAGAACCTTTTTGATTCAACATAGGCCAGAGCAAGAAAGAAGACAATTTTTCCCATACACGCTGTGTGATTTTGATGACAAAGCAACACTTCAGCACAAAATGGTATGAAAAAATTCATCCCAATGGTGAAAAATTTGTTTCGCCATTGGTTGCTGTACAACAATAAAAAAGATTAATTGTTTTTTTTTTTTTTTTGCTGTTTGTGATTTTCAACGGCAAAAACCAACAATTTCTCAGAAATTTCAAAAGGATTTTGTGACTGGAAAAAACTAAACTCAAGAGTTCCTGAACATGAAAACAGCAATGAACACCAAAGATGCTATTCTGATTGGAAAACTCTAAAAAAAAACCCTCGTAGGAAAGACCATGGATTCTGATCTGCAGAGAGAAATGAAAAAGTGGAGAGACACCTTGAAAGTGACTGTTGATGTAATTTTGTTCTGTGCCAGGAACAATCTTGCCCTTTGGGGCATAATAGAAGTCATCGGTCAATAAAACAATGGCATTTTTCTGAACTTGATTGAGATAATAAGCAATTATTATTCTTTAGTGGCTGAACACATTGCATCTGTTAAAGCAAAGAAAACTACAGCGTCCTACTTTTTTCCTCCAATACAAAATGAATTGATTGAGTTACTTGAGTAAAAAGTCAGAAATGAAGTATAGTCAAACATTAAATTAAAGAAGCTAAATAATACTCTGTTTTACTATTTATATCTGTAATACTACTCTGTTTTGTTTGACTGTACTCCAGATTCCTCCCATAAAGAGCAGATGACCCAAATAATTAGGTATATCCGCATCAATGATGAAACCTGTACAATTTAGGAAAGCTTTGTTGACTTCATTGAATGTCACCAAAAAATCGGAAAAAATCTTGCAACAGAGATCACTAAAAAATTAGAGAAAGACGGTTGAATGGCTGTTTGAGTCTATGTCTGCTGTATCCTCCGATATAGACTTTCTCTGTGGGCGTTCACTATCTAAAAGTTCAGTGGATGAACTTAGACAAAAGCCAAAAACTTAAAATAAAAGTGTCACAATCATTTACGTTTTTATGATGCCATAATCCACCTTTGGTTAACTTTTTTAACTTTAATACTTTTTGTTTGCTTATAATGTTAATGCTTATATATAGCTGTACAAAAGATTAATGTTCAGTAGAATAGCAAATATATTTCCATTCTTTTTTAAATTTTCAAATAGAGTGTTAAATCTTTACAAAGGGCTTAACGTTTTAAGTTTTGAGTTAAGTATTAAAAAATGTATAAGTCTTCCAAAAATTTTGTCAATATACAAAATCAGAGGTCGTAGATACCCAGCCAGCATTGTGGTACGGGTACCATGCGGGACCCGTATGGGTCATCAACTGGGCCCCATATGGGTAGCCCTCCGGGGTCCCGCTGGTTTTTGGCCGCGGTTTCCATCCGGGGCCCATATTGGTTTGCCCGCCGGGAAACCCGTGTGGGTCCCATTAAGATCCCGCATTTTTAAACCATAAGGGTCCCGTATAGATTTACAACTGGGACCCATATGGGAAAGCCCTCCGGGATCTCGCCGGATTTTGGCTGCGGTTTCTATACGGGGCCCATATGGGTTTAATAAATATAAGAGAATTCATATTATATGCTTATTTATTTCAAACAAAAAGCACATTAAAATTACATTTTTATTCTTTAATCGTGAATCGTATCGTAATCATGAATTAAAATCTTTGTAAAAACCACTTCTTTAAACACTTTTTTCTTCATACAATATCTTTTTCAATAAGACCTGTGAAAAAATAAAAATTAAACTGCTTTGAGTTGAATTTTACAAGCAACCCATCGTTTATATTTTAAATCAACATCTTCTTTTAAATTGCATATTTTAAAATTTTTTTCAGATTTAAAAAAAAAAGTATTTTCTCACAATATTAAAATTGTGTTTAATAATTAAAGGGAGTATACTCACTAACCATTAAGTCAAAAAATTCTATACAAGAGTCATTCATTAATTCTAATAAACAAGACTACTTATCATTATTATTACTATTATATTTACTAACCTGCCATTAAAGGAGTTTATTTAATTGGAGTCATTAACTAAAATTGGAGACGTTCTGTAGTCAACTCACACCACTAGACAAATATTGCCAACAGCCAATGTGAACCTATTGCAAATAATCAGAAATATTCTTAAATAAAAAATGCAAAATACCTTAATAACATAAGGAAATGATAACTGACATTTTCTAAAGAAAATTAAAAAAATGACACAAAATAAAAATGGAGTTAAACTTGTTATACTAATTATTATAACTTAATTAAAATAAATTAGGATAAATTAGGATGTATAACTAAGATAAATAAATAATATAAATATAATAACTAATGTAAATAAATAAAAAGCGCAGATATGTAATAAATTGAGATTTCTTAGACTTTTTCTTTAGTTACTTATAAATAAATTAGCATAGCGTATATATATATATTTTTTTAAATTTATTTGTTTACATATATAATTAGATATACAACATATGTTAAAAAAAAGATTAAAAAATAATCACTTGACTTTCTAGAAAATTTTATTATAATATAAATGCATAATATAATATAAAGAGGTTATAAGTTTTAGAAAATAAAAAGTATTTATAATTCACAAATGTAGTTGACGCATAACAATAAAGCCACTTTTGTATGGTATTTGTAAATACTTAATATTGATGTCTGATAGTGGGTAAATTTTATTAATACCAGTCATTTTGCTTGCATAAAATATCGACAAATTATTGGAAGAAAGTGGGTCTGTGAAAAATGATTCAAGAGCTGCAAATTCTTCAAACATAACCAATCCATCACAAGATTCGCCTGTTTTTATTTGTATAATATTTCTAACTAAACCAATTTTTTTTGCAACTTCAAAGCAGTTATTTCCATCAGTAGCAGAAACAAAACACTTAAAACCTTGGTAATTTTTAAACTGCAAACAATGTCTCAATGCAATGGTTATTGGTCCATCAACATGCTGGATGCTAAATTTCAGCTGATGAATATGATGTCTATCTTCCTTCAAACAGCCCTCGAAAATTCTCCTAACAATTTGTGAACATGGTTGTTGTGGCCTATGAACAAGCTTTTTTAATTGACCCAGATAATTTTCATATTTGAATGAGGAGCACTTATCCAAAACTCCAAAGTTAACTGCATCATCTGCTAGATGTATCAAAGAATGGACATTATAAACTAACTGATCTTTACCATAAAGTTTACCAAACGACTGCACAAAATAAGTAAGTAACTGACGAGCTAAACCAATATAGTTTTTCAACAAAATAGGACATAATAAAATACGAATTGCAACTGAAAGATCTAAAAAGTTTGAATAAAATTTTGGCTCAAGTAATCCCTTTAAAACAACTGGTCCAGTATATATTAGAAAAAGTCTAAGTTCAGTGGCTTTCCAATGCCGAAAATCTGATAAAGACCTTGGTTTCCTAGAAAATTCCTTTGGAATATAACAACGTATCTGGAAAAATCTATCAGATAAAATATTTACAGTATTTTGCGACAACTTACATGATCTGGGACCATTTAACCATAAGTTGATGATTCTTCGCACAACCCCTAGACATACTAGGTGCATGTAATCTAAAGGAAATTTTGATACCATGTCAAAACCCAACTCAATTAAAGGAGACACACCAATATGATGTTCCAAACTATTTTGATAACGAAAATCTGAATCAGTCCTTAAAGTTGCTGATGTATGCGGAAGGATTATTTTGCCACACCACTCTCCTTTTTGAACACAACGCTCACAACAATTATAACCATTGTGACCCTTTATACATTTCACAAATGCTCTTGCTGGTGCATCACATATAATTGCAGCAAGCTTTACATCATACTTTACATTTTCATGGGTAAAACCATTTTCAGTAAGAGCTTTAATCTCAACCAAAAAATCTTCTAGATATTCATGAATAGAATTTGGTTTTTTGTCACCACAATAAATTGCTATTGGAAATACTATTGCTCCAGCTTCAATAAGAGTACCTAAAATTGGCCAAAGAGAAGTACTGGAACTGGTGAATATAGGTATACCATCAATGTTAATGTGAATGATAAGTTGGTTGTTGTTTGATTCTATTGAATTGTTTTTAAACATTATTAAAAGCCAATACTGCATGCTGAAATAGTAATACTCTCCGCCCGCAACAATTTTTGTATCTATATTTTGGGGGGTGTGAAGAAGTGTTCTTGAATCTTTAGGCAAACTTAACCCATATTCTCTTAATAAAGGTAACAAACTGTTCAAAGCAGCATGTGTTATATTGAAGCTTAATGCCCAATTAGCAAGTTTATGAGGCAATTTTTCGCTGTCATTACTTTCATCACTCTTATAATCATCAGAAATAAATGACTCAGGAGACCATTCATTACTATCATCTGTAAGTAATTCAATAGTGTTTTTGTTATTTTCTATTTCGCTAATTTCAGTCTCCATAACAGCTAAACTATTATCAGAATAATTAGAATTAGTTAAAAATTCGTTAGGTTCCAAATTACTGTCAACTTGTTCTCTTATTCCATGTAAATATGAAGAATCAAAAAACATATTGCTACTATATGGATAAACATCCTGATTCTGTATATTTAAAGTTGAAGATTCTTGAAAAAGTTTTGATACCACTTCAGCTATTTTTCTACGTTTAGATCTTTCAGAAGTCATTCTAGTAAATTAAAATAAATTATAAACAAACTTCTAACAAATATCAACTATAACTTATTATAACAAATTTAACAGCAATATATATATATATATATATATATATATATATATATATATATATATATATATATATACATATATATATATATATATATATATATATATATATATATATATATATATATATATATATATATATATATATATATATATATATATATATATATATATATATATACATATATATATATATATATATATACACATATATATATATATATATATATATATATATATATATATATATATATATATATATATATATATATATATATAAGTATACATATATATATATAAGTATATATATAATTGAGTGAGTCCCTAATATCATTGAAAAAAAAATTTCAACCTAGAACTTATAAATAAGCAAAATTAAATAAAAATTTCAAAAAAATAATTTCTTATTTGAAAAAATATTTAAAGAATTATTATCAAAAAACTTTTTATAACTTTTTTGAAAACCATAGGTTTTATATGTATGTATATATGATAAAAAAAATTCAGAAACTTAAAAACAACACTGAAAAAAGAAACTCTTTTTTTATACAATAACTAAAATATTTAATAAAAAAACTACTATAAAATATAACATATTCGTTTAAGATAGGATTAAGAATTATTTAAAAACTTTCTTCCAAATGATTAACGACATCTAAGCGCCGTCTTCGACCTATACCTCTGTCACGAGCATTACCAAACCATTTTGAAAGAGCCTCCTCAAGCTGTTTTTTTGTACACTCTTTTGTAGATGTATTCATTTTTATGGAAGCTGTTGTAAAAAAATATTTTCAAATTTTTATTTGAATTAAAATAAAATATGTAAATTCAAATGTAAAATAAAATATGTTAATTCAAAAATACTAAATTCTAGCATACTATAAAGAATGTTGTACAAAATGGTTTTAATAAATCCACGCTTATTTTTTTGGCCGGTCAAATTTAGCTGTCTGGCCAATACATTTCCAATAAAATAAGTCATATTTCGATTAACAAATTCTGAAATATCTTGCCCACCATTTTCAAAAAGAATATGAACCTATAATAAGATTGAATATTGCAAAATTAAACTAAATGAAAATTTATTATTACTAAATAATAAAGTACATAATTTTGATAAAGAATATGAAAATTTATACAAAATAGGTCTGAGTAAACAATTACCAAAATCCTTTGAGTAGTAACATTAGCTAATATTTCAAGAGCCTTATCCAGTTCTTCTATTGTTGTTACAGGAAATGTTAAACCTTCTGGTAGCTCCACTGATGCTATGTCTCTTTCTATGTTAAACCGTTGCAATAAATTCTGAATCATCTTAGAGTGAAATTTTTGTGTTTCTTTAATTTGTTCTAACCCTCTCAAAATAGTTTTGCATACTCCTATAAATGCTTACTGCTAAAGAATCTAATTGCTAATCAACATTAAATCATAACATATAAACACCTTTTTTTTTAGGGTCTTCTATTTCTATAACATATATAAGTATAATATTACCACTGCGAACAATGGATACGTACCTGAATTTTCTGCTGCAGCAAAAGGTACTATTGTTGAAGAATTAGGCATTCTTTGATAAGTTTCAGACAAATTGAATGAAAAATCTGCAATATATGTATGAATGGTATATATATATATATATATATATATATATATATATATATATATATATATATATATATATGTGTGTGTGTGTGTGTGTGTGTGTGTGTGTGTGTGTGTGTGTGTGTGTGTGTGTGTGTGTGTGTGTGTGTGTGTGTACCCATTAATTATTGTCTCTATAAAGATATATTTAATAAATATAATACACATTGACTAACTTATAAAATATTAAATATAATAATAAAAAAAAAATAATAAAAATAAAATTTAAAAAATACCATTTTATAGCAAAATATTTAATTTAAATATTACAAATAAAAATAGAATGGAAATAAAAATATTAAAAAATAAATTAAAAAATGATCATATTTAAATTTAAATGTTACAAGACTGAAATTTAAAATTATACAATTATTAACGACATTGCGCACTTAGCATAGCTTAGTGCATTGCTCATAAGATATAATATATATATATATATATATATATATATATATATATATATATATATATTATATATATATATATATATATATATATATATATATATGTATACCTGTTAAAGATGAATTTTTATTGAAATCAACATCATCTGAAGTGTTAGAACATCGAGGAACTATAAAAAACAGTTAAAAATGTTGCTATTCCTAAGATACTACCTTACTACTGCAACAAGAAAATAAGAACTGAAATATATACTTAAAGGAACATCTAGCTTGATAAAAGCTTGTTCTGGGGATTTATTAAGGTCTTCAAAACTTTTATTGAACTTCATATGTCTAAAAATGTTAAATTTATTAATGATATACAAAAGATTATAATTATTGCTCTAAAGCATTATTATATAGACTAGATAGACTTAGAATATGTTAAAAGTTTTGTTTTTTTTAGTAAAAATTTTAATTTTTTAACCCTTTTGTTGACTCTGTTTTCTTTTTCTTTATTGATTTACTAAGTTCTTCTTTAAAAAAAATAGATTCAATTTCCTTTTCTAAAAAGCAAAAATGCTTACGCTTTTATGCTACACATATTTTATTTAAAACAAGTCCTGTATATCTATATATAAACAAACTTTATTTTAAGTAATATTTTACTAACTTTTTTCAAATAACTTTACTTGAGAATCTTTTTCAGAAGACTGGCTAATTATGGAATACAAGCATTATTATTTTTAATTGTATTAAGATTATTTTATTATAATCATATAAGGTTACAAAAGAATGTAAATATCTTCCATCTATCGAAATGAAATTGTTGAACTTTATAGACCTTTTTCGATTTTTTAGATATAGTTCATCAACATTTGATGTATCTTCTGCATATTTACATTTTTCTTTTGCTTCAGATTCTGTGTCTAAATTTTTTAAACAACAATGAAGTCATTGCTATATAAATTTTTGTCAAATTCAAATTTTATTATTTTACTTATTAAAATATACATTATAAATTTGCTTTCTGTAAAATAATTAAAATTTATTAAAACACATAAAATTTAAATAAATTATTTAAATTTTTTTTTCTTTTCATAAAACTTATAAAAAACAAAAAAATAGTTAATTTACTATCATTTAAATAATATATAAACTAACCAGCAGTGGACAAAATTCTTCCAGAAAATCGCAGCCAACCAACTTCTGGGTCTTGACAGATTGATTTTGCTGCGTCAATTTTTTTCATATTTGTCCAGCGTGGCCAATAAAAATCTGTTGATTTCCTTGAAGATATTATAGACAGAACATTTTCGCTCATCGCATTAACAAGCCAAATTAGAGGTAGATAGTCAGTGTTATTTTCCTCATCAAAGGCAACAATTGCATACATCATTTTACTGTAAGTTAAAATGCCAATGTATACACTTGCTTTTAAATTAAAATATACAATATATATATATATATATATATATATATATATATATATATATATATATATATATTGATATATATATTGATATATATATATATATATATATATATATATATATATATCATAAATAAAATACTCTTAAAAATATTTTATATATAATTTAACACACACGCACATATACAATGTAATACATAATATGTATATATATATATAAATATATATATATATATATATATATATATTATATATTACATATATAATATGTATTTATTTATATAAATATATATATATATATATATATATATATATATATATATATATATATATATATATATATATATATATATATATATATATATACATATATATACATATATACAACATTATAAATACATTCACGTATACATACAAATGTAAACATACTTTGAACTGTTTGTTTGACGAGTAGCTGTGCGAAAAGTTATCTTTTAATTTGCATTGAAAAAAAATATATTTATACGGGTTGTAATTTTGTAATGTTGCCAAGAATTTATGCCACAAGTTCCTTGTTTACTTCTTTGTCAAGGAAGTAAAACAGTAAAAATGAAGATGTCAACATTATAATATTGTGACATGAAAATTATTCGTGAAACTAATTTTTGTAAAGGTGAACGATATTTAATTCAATTCTTTAAAATAACTAACTTTATGCATAGTAAAATTAAGTTCGTTTTTTAAAGAAATAAAAACTTCTTTTATATAAACTTAAACGCTAACATAATCTAGTTTTAATGTAGAAACAAAATCCAACAAAAAACCGATTTCTCTTTAATTATAATGTAAAAATAATGTATACAAGTTCCATTTTATGAACTTCTTTGAAACTCAATTAATTTTGTTATTGTAAATGGCGAAATTTAAGATTCGGTTTTATAAAATATCTTCTTGTAACAGAACCAATTGGGCCCCAAATGGGAAACCCATCACATTCCCATATTCCGTAACCCAGATATGATTTCTACGAGAGTTTTAGCGTGATTTTTTAGCCATACGGGACCCATCAGGAAACCAGTACTCGCGCCCATTTAGATCCCGTATCCCGTAAACCCGGATATAAACCGTACGGGGCCCGTTTGCTATTGCTGGCTGGGTACACATGAAACGTGCATGCTAGCTCATTTTCAATATCAGTACAAGTTTTCTTTTTGTAACCTCTAATGTTTAGTTCTTCATTATCAAAAAGTTGACATAAAGTTTAGCGGATTTGCATAACAATTATGCAAGAGTGGTCAAAAGCATGAAACCTTTTTTTACAAAAGCATAAAACCTTTTTAAACAAAGAGGTATAATAAAAAAGCTAAAGCCCTGTAGGTACAAGACGTATTTAAAACGTTTAAAATACGTATTACACATATTACATTTTTTTAATGTTTTAAATACGTCTTGTCCCCAGTGTGAAAGATAATTTTTGCACACTTTCAATACAATAGACCTTGATATTAAGTACGTGAGTGTACCATTACCTTGTGTGATTACACTAAGTGATTTGTACAACAAAAAAAAAACTTGTCTTTGATAGACACATGCATGCTTAAACTTACCAAGCAGATAATGTAAACAACTGTGTTACATATGTTTAATATTGTTCTTTCTCAGTTATTAGCTTGTATTGAAAAAACAATTTTAGATAAAAGTATTACACCCATCTTCAAAGTGGATAACTAGCTAATCTCTTGTCTAACCTAATTAGAGATGAGTTACATGCACAAACTCACAAAAACACGGTTAAAAGAAAGACTTCAAACTCATTTTCCTAACTTGCGAATATAACAGGATGTTCGAGATATTTTACATTTTTTGAATGATGACATTCCAACACTTCTTAAAGCCTTTTAGTAATGTTGTGATGTGAAACAATTTATTTTTCAAGGGCTACACCTTTGACAAATACTCTGTTTCGCGATCTGTTTCATATACACTGACAGCTGTTTCAACGATATATACGATCTGTTTCAAATAAACTGTTTGATTTTTTACCACAATGATCACATTTTCATGATCACAACGTTTTTAAAAAGCTTCAAGAAGAGTTGGAATGTCATCCTTACAAATAAGTAAAATATCTTGAACATCCTGTTGTGTACGCATGTTTTTCGCATGAATTTCGATCTATTTTAAGATACTTCAAAAAAAAGTTATTTTTTCCGTTCTTCCACATTAAAAAAAAAAAATTCGACATAAAGGTCCCAATTTTTCATTTATATATTGTTCTCAGGCTTCTATTACTGTAATTTTTTTGTAAAACATTCTAATTAGATACCTTGGTTATAATTGTACGAAGTATAGTGGTTTTGAAAATGCAAACCATTTCTGGTTTCTAGACATTTGTTTTCAAATAAATTATTTCCGCTTACGGTGACTATAAGTTCAATCGCAAAGCCACCGTGTACCGAGCGCAACTTTTTGGAATATTGGTCACAGGTTTTCAGTCTTTAAAGTCACATTTTATTAAAAATTTTAAGCTTTTTGTGGAACTGCCCTGTATATTATTTCTATAAGTTGTTCTTCTTTTTATTGCTAATTTTAAGCACTTTTTAATAATATATGAAAACATAACATTTAAACAATTTAAAAGATTTACGCACATAACGGGAAGTAATAAGCCAGTAACCAAACAAGCAAATTAGTTAGCTATATAAATATATATCTGATTATTTTTCTAGTTCGGTTTATAAAAATATTTTTAATTTAAATATAATGTATTTAAAATTGTTTTTGAGTATGTTCAATACATATTTGTTTTAAATATATTTAAGTTTGCTATATCATTTAGATTAAAGGTGACAGACTGGTCACAATACTGTAAAAAAATATATTTAGAAAAAAAAAAAAAAAAAAGACAACAAAGCTTAAACATTATTTCTATAATAATTTTTTAAACATTTAATAAAAAAAAGGAGCAATCAAAGAATTGTTATTTGTAAATGTAACTTAAATTAGTAATATTTATTTATCGATGATATATATATATATATATATATATATATATATATATATATATATATATATATATAATATATATATATATATATATATATATATATATATATATATATATATATATATATATATATATATATATATATATATATTACATTTATTAAATGATATTTGTAGTTTTTGTTGGAGATATAAAAAAATAAATTTATAATAATAACTTATTTTTTTATGCAATGTTAAGTTGAATTTATAATTAATGAAAAAGTTACATTTATTTACTGTTTTAGCAAATTTTATATAGAATGTCAGATAGTGAAGATGATGATGATTTTTCCGGAGATGAGGGGGAAGATTTAGACCAGGTATAAACTGATTATTTTTTTAATTTTTATTATTATTTAACTTTTTTTTTTTTAATTATATATTTGTTTTAAACAAAATATGCTACAAGGTGTAGCTACAAATATATAAAAAAGAGAATATATATAATAGATTTTTCGTTGGGGTAAAAATTATTAGTTTTTAATTTAGTTTTAAAACCACTACTGTTTTATTTCCAACATCAACATATTGAAAAAACTATCTGTTCATCAAGCTTGAGTTATTTCTGATAGCAACTATGTGTTTAAACGCTAAAATAGAAAGTACTAGTAAAATGGCAACAATTATGTTAACTATTACAATCACAGTCAAAATAACTTGATCTTTACTTTCAAAAATATCGTATATATTTAAGTAACTTTTTAAATTAAAATTAATTAATTTATATTTTAATTACAAATACTTTTTAGGAATTTCTTGAAAAAGTGAATCTTTGAAATTAAATTTTTATATGTTTTAGTTGATTTTCTAGTTTAATTTTTTGTGCCAAATAAGTTTTTAATTACAAGCTGTCCCAGATGACTAGTAAGTGACCATGACCCTGGCCCCGGCTAAAAATGAGCTGGGGCTAGAAAAAGATTTTTAATACTTAAAAATTATAATTTTAAACTTACATTTACTATTTATTAAATATTGGCGTATATTATTACATTTTTAAACTCTAGTTTACTTCCAACAAGATTGCAAGCAACCACTATTAAGTTATGAGTTACTTTAAAATAAAGGAGCTCAGTGAAAAATAGAAAAAAGGAAACGTGACCAAAATTAATTTTTTAAATAAAAATACATTTAATACAAATTTCATGCATGACTGTAAAGTTATGAAAAAATAAGAATGTTAAAAAGTGAAATCAGCTTTTAAAGGAATTGGAGAATTCCACAAATAGGATACAAGGTGTGCAAAGTAGTCATTTGTCTGGCTTCTCACAAGCAAGTGTAGAGAGGCAATTTTCTTCGCTTAAGTTTATATCAAGCAATCTATGTCCTTCACTTAACCCAATGTTTTATAAATTATTTTATTTTTTTTACTTGTTTTTTCTGAAGTCATTCCGGAGCTGCTCTGGAGCTGTTCCATATAGATTTTACTAAATATACAAAATATTTAGTCTTGTTTTTCAATGATAATGACTAAAGAACTACTTATAATAAATAATTCTTATAAAAAATTCTTATAATTTATTAATACTTTTATTTTTATAGCTTAAATAAGTCTGCAATTGTATGAACTTTAAATTCCCAAAAATAGTTTGTATACACTAATAACATAAATAATAATATATACCTATTTCTGTTAGAACTTCATTCATCTGAGTTTTTATTTCCAACAGTCAAACGATCATCTGTACTATTCTATCTTGTAGCATGGTTGGAAAAAACCCAACCCAAATGGATTTTTTGGGTTTCTATTGGATTTTTTTGGATTTTATAGTTTTTTTTTTTTTTTAAAGAACTAATCAAATTTCAAAAATTTTATTTTTGTATGTGCACTGTAATTATTTTCAATTTTATATATTCACTTCCCTATTGCTCTAGTGTCCACTACAGTCAAGGGAGTTACTTGTTTTTTTAAGATATTTACTCTCAATCCTTAACTTAGAAACACTAACCTTTTTAAACAAGGGTGCTGTGTGGAGAAACAGATTGAGCAACATAATTTCAGAAAGTGCAGGATAGATTTGAATCTCAACCTCTTGGTTGTGAGCCAAATGTTTTACAACTAGTCTACTACCACAATAAGCCTATGATCCACAAGGTGACTCCTTCAAAAATAAATGATGTTAATTAATAACATTAAAATAAATTAAAAACATGTTCAAAATGTTTTTGACTAAGAAAAATCACATTAAAAATTGTTATAACAACTAAGTTATTTAAACTTAGTAAGACAATATAGATATTGCAAACTTTTTTTATATTAACATGCTCAACATGTTACTTCAAAAACTAGTTTGCACAAGTTTGTAACATGATGTTGCAACTTGGTAAAGTATTGTCAATTGGGATGACTGTGAATGCTTTTTAAGCAATTTTTGTATCATAGAAGAAAACTGTTAGCTTAATCTCTACCTTTTTTTTTAACAGAACATTATATTATCCAGCTTCCTAAAAAAGTTTTAAGTCTGATCTATAAAGTAAATATCTTAAATTTCTTATTTTATATGATCATAGTTTCATTTTTTAAATGAGAAGAGAATAATTAGCCAATTTGGGGTAACATTGAACACAACATAGTGTTTTTATTTTTTAGATTATGGATAGATTTTTTTTTTAAGTGGATTTATGCCTAAGCTCAGATTTTTCTTAAGAATATCTAGAATGGGTTTGTTAAGAACCATTACATTGTCTGTATCACCAGGTTTGTTATTTTTTCCTGGAAGACATTTTATCACCCCGATTTTGTTTCTCCAATCTTTCGCATAAGTAATTATTTAAAGAAATAAACTTTCTGTTGAACTATCAAGTCTCTTTTGTCCACCATGCTTTTTTGGTAAATAGGAATACTAAATAACAAAAAGATAAAACTTGATCTTCAAGTTTTACCTTTTTGTTATTTAGCATTCCTTATAGAATGTTATTAGTTTTAGCAGCCTTCCTTATGGTAAATCCATGGTTTTTTAGTTTATTTACAGCTGTTTTTAGGTCTGCTTGAGTGTAACTTATTTTATAACATCAGCTATTTTCCTTTCTTTTGTAACTTCAAGGCAAATTTCCTAAAGTTAGCAAAAAAAAAATTAAATTCTTTATATCAAGTAATTACATACAGGCAAGCTACACCCTAAACTTTGATTTTATTAGAACAATATGTACCAGAACTTGATATGTAGCAACTTTAATAGTTTATAATATAAATTTCTTCTTTTTTTTCCTTTATATGCTAATTATCATTTGTTATTGTTATTCAAAAAAAATAAATAATAATAAATAAATAGAAAGTTTGACAAAAGTAGGACTAAAAGACAGTGGTCAGCTACGCAATGCGCACAAAACCTTATTTTTTTAAATTTAAATTTTGAATTAATTTTTCGCTTAAATTATTCTTTATATGTTCATAAAAACATTTTTCTTCTATGACAATTATTTTGTCCAAGTTTTATTTATAAAACTTTTTAAATATAATAATAATTACAGGTCAAAATTTTTTAAAATAAAAACCATGAAGTCAGCTATGCAACTATCAGCTATGCAACATGCGAGTTTTTATTATAATTCAGATTAAAACAAAACAAATTTCATAATATATTTTTAGCTTTTATTTAAAAATGATAAAAATTGTTTCTGCAGTTTATAAAGATCATTTTTAAGATATCTGGTCACTCCTAAATGTCTAGACACTTAATGTAAATTTTTAATTTTTATTCCTTTGAGCAATTTCATACCTCACCTACAGCGCTTCCATCTAAAACTTGAAAGTAATGACATTTACACAATTCTTTTTTTTTCTTTTCTTGGAAAAGGTGTTCAAACCAAGAGAGTTGTTTACTTCTAGCTTTTCTTTTACATTCAGTAATCTAACAGTCATTTCTAAATTGTTTGTAGCAATTGACAAGTCCCTAGCGCAAGAAATTATATATTTTTCCGTTAAAATATTTTTTCTGGTAACCCATTTTACAGTGGCTCGAATTCCATCCACAACTCCTTTTTCGTGAATTGCAGCAAAAAAATGCCAGTGCATTTGAATTGTATGCTTTTCTTCTAAATTGATACTAAAATATACATATTTTTGAATTGAAATGTTACGTTGTTGCTGAAAATATAAACTTCTGTAATATTGTCTGATAGAATCTCTATAATTTATTTATGTTTGGAATAACAGAAAATTTTGTATGATATATGATAGCAATGTATGGCGTTAATCGCTTAAATCAGAAACTAGTGCAAAAGATTTAATTTGGCGATGCCAAACTGTAAAAATAGAAATGTGATTTTGACTAAAATGAGCTGCTTGCATTTAATTTTCTGCCCAGTCAATATGAATAATAGCCTTATTTGAGTTTTTGAATTGCTGATTCTATATTTAATTTAAATACAGATAATTGACTGCTTTTGACATTACTATGAATAATAAACTTTGTACACCTTTCTTTAATATCTGATAATAAAACTGAAATTGTTCCTTCTTTATTGACCTTTTCTATTTTAATATATGATTTTGCTTGAGGTTTCTGCCACTGATTCCACAAAATTTCTAACTCAAATTGTTCGGACTGAAGTAATAATTTATCAAAAAGACTATAAATGGTACATTCTTTGCAAACAGCATTGAAATATTGTTTTGTTGGTTTTTCACAAATAAAGTTTAGAATCATAAATTTCTTGTTTTAATTGTAGGAAATACATCTAAACCCTGCGAAAGTAATTCAAGAGCATAATGCATATTTTCATGTAACATGCAAACACATACGTTATGAGGAATTGATAATACACATTGAGCCTAAGTTGGAAGTCTTTCTCTCTGAGATTGTTTGTTCATTTTTAAATTGAGTAAGTTAATGGTTGAGTTTCATTAATTAAACAGCACAACAGTTCCTTCTTCTGAACAGGACTTTTGGGAAGTGAGCGATTCAATTCTTTCACATACTTTCCTTTAATTTGTACATTTACAAATGATGAGTGATTTGATTCTACAGATGAAGATTCATCTTTTTGCCTTAGTCAAGATTTTCTCATTTTTTCTAAACTTTTTGTTCTTTCAGCTTTTTCAAAAATCTTTTTTCCACCTTTGTCTTTGAAGTCTAGCTTTTTCTTTAGCTTTGTATTTCTTTTCATCATGATTTCTACTCATTTAATTCTTTTGATTCAGTACTTTTCTATTTTTTATTTTGATGGCTGTTATAAAAAAAGTAAATTACAAATAAATTTTAACTACAAATAGTAAACTACAAATACAAATACAAATAAGTTTAAAAATAATTTAAAAATTCTATAATGTTTACACAATGCACACCTTTTTTATTTTCGTTAGATGCACAAGCAACTGGTTCCTGGAATGATTCCATATTTTTAAATTGACTATATGACTATGTTTTATAGTTTCAAATAATTTCTAATTGAATATAAATGTTTTGGACTTAAAAATGTATTTAGCAAAATATTTTATTGCATTGAAAAAAAGCAAACAAAATTTGCGACATTAAGCTATTTAGTTTTAGCAGTCAGCTAAACAACATGAAGTTTAGTGGATTTTTTTTTTTAACTATTTGATGCCAATTTTTTTTTATTATAACAAAAATTTTAAAATGGCAAATTAGTTTAAGTAAGTAATTGACAAGGATTACAAAAAAAAAAAAAAAATTGATGGGAAAAACAAACTTTTCCTTTCCGGCAGTCAGTTGCGCAACAACTATTTAAGAAACTAATTTGCTTATATTGTGCGAAATATTTAAAAATTAAATGTTGAAAAATGAGGTCAACAATAATTTGCCGACCTCAATCTTTTTGATTTTTTAGCAATTTTTTACCGACCTTAAACAGTTTTAAGGTTGGCAGTTAGGTGATTAATTTGCCAGCCCTAGTTCCGAGGGATTAGGGCCTTTTAGGGTTGATATATATGTATGTATGTATGTATGTATGTATGTATGTATGTATGTATGTATGTATGTATGTATGTATGTATGTATGTATGTATGTATGTATGTATGTATGTATGTATATATATATATATATATATATATATATATATCTTGCATGGTAGTCAAAAAGTTCCTTCCATAAACTGTAGTTTTAAAGAGAGTGCTAATAAACTAAAACAGAAAAAGTTAAAACTTTAATAATTTTTTTTTCTTAAATGATGGACTGCCTGTCCTCTAAAACCCTCAGTTGATGTAGCAGCACTTCATTGTGAGTCAGGGTATAAGATGTATTAGCACTCTGTTGTATTAGCACTCTGTTACAAGCCAGGCTATAAGATAGTCGATGTAGTAACACTTCCTTGTAGCAGCAGGCTATAAGATTGTTGATGTAGCAACACATTGTGCATGTTTTAAAAAAATGTTTTTAAAAAACGAAAACAAAAACACTATTAATTAAAAAACTTTCTAGTCATTATTATTGCGGTTTTTTAAAAAACAATAAAACTTAATTTACTTCCGAATTATTTTAATTGCTTTGACTTTTAGATGACATGAAAATGTAGCTTATTTGTTGAGGTTGCTTAATTGTTGTTGAAAGAGACTTTTTTACCATAAAAGTCTCTTTCGATTACAAGATAAAGATATATATATATATATATATATATATATATATATACATATATATATATATATATATATATATATATATATATATATATATATATATATATATATATATATATATATATATATATATTGACTTTGACTTTTAGATGACATTTTCATGTTATCTAAAAGTCAAAGCAATTAAAATAATTCGGAAGTAAATTAAGTTTTATTGTTTTTTAAAAAACCGCAATAATAATGACTAGAAAGTTTTTTAATTAATAGTGTTTTGTTTTCTTTTTTTAAAAACATTTTTTCCATAAATTATATAGGATAAACTGGTGTGCCATTTAATGTAAGCGGTAAGCCATTTCACATAAGCTGTTTTAAATTATTTTTTAGTGTTTAAACAAGCTTAAAGATATTGTTTAAGTGGTAAGATAAAAGAAATAATTAATGTTATAAAAACCACTTTCACTTTTCAATAATTTAATCAAAATTTGCTCATTCATTAAATTATCATTTGCAATAATTTGTAAAAGTGTGTTAAATAACTTTAATAAAACGTTAATAAAAGATATGTTCTAAAGTAATTTGTTTCAAATGCAATTAAAAACGAAACAAAAAATAATTTTTGCTTTAAGTTTGAGTTTTATTTTAAAATATTTTACATATATTTACATTTTTTTATAACAGCCATATTTAAATGCATATTTTGTTTTTCATAAGGAATTGTTTTTTTCTTTAGTTTTTTTAATTTTTTTCCTTGGTAAGTTTAATTTAGTGTTTCGTTTTTCAGCGCATTACTGAAATGTTTAAATCATCAAAACATCTAAACAGTCGTGGTCAAGTTGTCAATACAATACAATATATATATATATATATATATATATATATATATATATATATATATATATATATATATATATATATATATATATATATTTATATATATATATATATATATATATATATATATATATATATATATATATATATATATATATATATATATATATGTATATACAAATAGTATTGCGTACTATTGTAAGCAATCTGACGTCATACTGAAATAGCCTGCTGCTGGGGGCTTCAGTACATACATTGACTGACAAATAGCCTGACTCGCAGTGGAGTGCTGCTACATCCACTGAGGGTTTGGGATGGGGAAGCAATCGTTTTATTCATCATTCTTTGTTTTTTCTTCTTTTTTGATAAAAAACGGTATAGCTTAAGGTAAGCAAAAAAAGTGAGCAAATACTTATCAAAACACGCTTTAGTAAGTGTGTGTGTGTATATATATATATATATATATATATATATATATATATATATATATATATATATATATATATATATATATATATATATTTATAATATTAAGACTAAGTTGACGTTTCATCAGCCAAGAACTAAGAGGCCGTTTGTCCAAATGTTGTGTTTTTTCTGTTTAGTATGTGTCCGATAAACCTAGTCTTAAGAATGATACAACTTATAAAAATGTTTAAAAAAATTAGTCGAACATACTGGCAAAAAATCTTAACAAATATAATTTTAAAACTTGATTTTCTCAAAAGCACAAAAAATGTGCATACAGCCTCTTGGTTCTTGGCTTGCAGTTTGCCTGTATCTTGTTTTATAATTTTATCCTCCATTTTTATTTTATCTTACATTATTTTATATTTTTATGCTCCATTACAAACATAAAAACTTATTTTGAGAGTATTTTCATGTTTTAACCTTAAATGAATACTGATTATGCATTGAAATATTAATATTTTTTTGATTTCTTAATGATATTTAACAAATATTGTTTTACTTAGGCTAATAATGAAGAAAGTAGTGAAGAAGAAGTAAATGATGAGTATGATGAAGATGAGGAAGATGATTATGAAGATGAATCTGGTCCTAAAAAAAAGAAAAGAAAACCAGCCCATGGTGGATTTATTATAGATGAAGCAGGTATAATTTAAAGCTTTTTTATTGCATTAAATTCTTTAAAAAACAATTTAATGCATAAATTATTGCATCCATTATCAAGGGGCAAATTAACTCAAAAAGTGCAAAAAACAAATGTACATAAATGCTTTTAAAAGCCATAAAATTTGGGTGGGGTAAAATTTTTTTTTTTAGTCACCAATCATAAAAGTTGTGCTTCAAGTTGCATATTATTTAGTTATAAATAGTAGTGCTATCAGATATGCAGATGGTCGTGATAAATTCCAAATTTAATTCTCATTTGGAGCTTTTTTCTGAAAATCAATTTATACATATATATTTTCAGCTTAAGACAAATATCTTAAGAAGTTATGAAAAAAAAATAATTTTGAAATGTACTTTTAAGGTTCAGAGTTTGCAGTTAGGTATAAGAGTTTGCAGTTAGGTATCAGGAGTTTGCAGTTAGGTATCAGGAGTTTGCAGTTAGGTATCAGGAGTTTGTAGTTAGGTATCAGATTAATATTCAAATTATTAGGACCATTTAATAACATAGTCAATAACGCAAGAAAGCAGTCGCCGTAGATAGCTCCTTGAATCCACTCTTCTTTTTTATTAGTTCTTTACAAGAACTCTTTATTTGAAGTAGCTTCTGAAGCTTCTCCAAGCTCATCACACACTCTAAATTATTTTGAAATATTTTTACTATAAGCACATCAAAGTTGAATTTTTTATTACAAAATATTTTTCTTAAAACAAGAAATATGTTTCTTTTTTAAGAAATAAATATCCTACCCTGCATTTATCACACATAAATAAAAATCACACAATTATCACACATAAATAAAAAAATTTCAATTTTTATTCCTGAAGCATACAGAAATTTATATTGATAATTGATATTGTAAAAATATAAAAATGAAAAATAAAAAATAGTACTCAATATTTTGTTTAAAATAAAAACATCTACTTTGACCAAACTTTCAATACCATCTCATAAGTTCAGCCACTGTAGAAAAACTATATGTATCACCACAAACTTAAAATGTATCACCAACTTAAAATCACAAATAGTAAAAACTAATTTTTAAGTGTTGTTTTATTGTAAAATTATAATATTTTAGTCAACTATTTTCTTAC